TGCAATGATCATACGAATTCAGATAAAACAGGCAGGCAAATTGGTGGCCAATTTCAAATCACATATCATTCTAGGGTCTGGAACCAAACCAATGTCAAAGTACATTACATGAAGTACATGACTTCAGCAAGATGTACTTAGGGGATAGAGGGTGGAGGGAACCTGTCATCGGACAGTCTGCCCTGTCAATGCAATTTCTATGTGACATAAATTTCTTATCCTTGCTACGTTGCTGTTTGGAAGTCCGAATCAGCAGCACATATTTTCGACAATGAAAGATTAAAATATTGTCATTTTTAATGGAGGGGAGTGGGGTGGGGTGAGAAGTCACTTAGCTCGTTTGAAAGGAAGTTCAATAAACAGTAAAGAGGTGGAGGGGGGGGGGAGCTAAAGACATCTCTTATTCCAATTGTCATGTGGGTTCGGGTTGCACAATCAAAGTGAAATTAAAATTAAACAGAAACAGAATAGTAAATGTGCAAAAAGTACCCATATGTAAATGAGGATTGCTTTCAAAGTTGGTGATCTATACACTTTCATACATAAAGCAGTCCTGCCAATCAAAGAGACTATCACTACAGTTGAGTGGGATTTTATTTACTGACATCAAGTGGCAGGTGCTTTGGCAGTGATCATTAGCCCTTTAGCTGACTTCGGGCTTCACAGAGGGAAGGTTCTTCAAAGTAGAAGAAAGTCAAGGGATGGGGAACAGAAGAGCGATTCACAGATGTAAAAGAGACAGACAGACACAAAGGTAGAGAAAAAGGTAAGGTGAGATGGGCACTGAGGAAGCGGTTGAATATGACGTACATTGGGGTCATGATAGTTTGAAGTCAGAAGTCAACTACCGGTTTATAGACATTTTTGCCCTATGAGTATGCCCAGAGTGCTCCACGTGGAGGTAAGTCTATCGGGCACCCCAGTTGAGTTAAAATAACTCTGTAAAACTTCTGTGAGTGTGTATTGGCATCTTTATTCCTCCATAAATAAACCACAATTCTCATTCATAGGAATATCTTCCTCGAACAGACGTGCTTAGTCAACATTCCGTCGCTTATCCACCAAATATCTGCCAGATGCTCCAAGGCTCACCGTATTCTTACACCACTAATTTCTCTGCTCTTCCTCCCAATTGCTCGTCTAAGCCACTTAACGCATTTGCGATCAACTCACAGATGGGAAGCCTCAACACCACCAAATAATCATTTATTCTGACAACCTATCCTTCATCTCCTAATTATGCCACCGGCTTCCCTGAAGTAAATCCTGTTGGCCATCATCCTCCCCTCTCCACATTTTGTTATCGTGAGGATCATGATACTTGGTTTTGACCTATAGACAACATTCCATGGTCTCCTATGTTGGCTTACGATTTGCTGTCTGCATGATACCTCCATTGGGGGAAGGAGTTAATGATGCCCATAGCAGTTCAAGCTTTAACCAACTGAGGGAACCACTGCAAGGTTCTCAATAGCTTGTTTTCATATCACCCATTCCATTCTACGTAGCCATTAGTTATATTATTGCTATACAAGTCATGAGTTGAGGCCTAGGCTAGATGGCATTGATGTCTGACGAACCGATTCTATGTGAATTAGACCACAAGACAGCCTCCACGTGGTACACCCTGGACAACGTATACTCATACGGCAAAAAAGTCTATTAACCGGCATCTGACTTCTCCCTACAAACTACCATCGCCCTATTGTATGTCAACAGTACTCACCTCACCTTTTATTCTACCTTTGTGTTTGTCTCACTTCGGTTCCCCCCCCCCCTCTCGACCTTTTTTCACTTTGATGTTCCTCTCTGTGAAGCCTGAAATCAACCAAAGAACTAATGATAGCTATAAAAACGCCAGCCAATTGATATAATAATACTTCATCGCCATAAAAAATGGTTTTCCAACTTTCGTGCGCATCAACATAATTAGGCTTCATTCATTCTTATACTGACAGCAACTCAAATCATGAATCCAAGCAAATTCATTCGAGTTCTTGAGACACACTTAATAGACGGTGTAATTATAAGAAACATCCACGCAATGCACTTTTGGCATTGCTCTTTTATGAAGGCACCTAATGAAGTTAAAGTCTTAATTCGATTTCCAATATTTTCAAGGGAAACCAAATTCAAGACAACCACACTGATGATTTTATATCGTTTAATAAGTACTCACTTAATGAAAAGGTTATCGATTCGTTATGGAAGAAAGGAGAAGAGAATCGCGGGGTAGACTCAAGGAGAATGAGTCGAATAAAAGGGGAGAGGAAGGAGGGGGGGGGGGGAAGGAATAGCACACATGAGATCATCACACGTCACTTGCATAAATATAAAGTCATCATCATCATCATCATCATCGTCGTCGTCATTAGCGTCATTGATCTCTTCATATAGGGGACATTTAGGAAGGAGATTAAACACATTAATGCAATCGCCACAAGCATACACAGGGAACGAGAATGTGAGATCGTCCTTCATTATGTATAATTCAAACAAAGATCATTTTTTTGATGTGGAGGGGAGGAAAGGAGTACGAATAATTTGAAAGAGAGAGAGAGAACAGGGATTCAAAAGAAGGGATTGAGACTTTGTGGAGGCTGTGATTGGGTTTGATTTGGTGGTGCTGCTATGCCCTGTGACATTGGTTGACCGGGGTTAAAGAAGGGGTGAGAGAGTTGAGCGACTCCATATCCAGTGAAGGTGGTGAATGCAGAGGGTGATCGGTTGACGGGAGCCCCCATCAAGGCCATAGGGGCTCCGTTTGCTACTGCAGCTGCTGAACTCAGCTGATTCAAAGAGGGTTTCCGTGGCTGATTCGCACTGAAGGGATTTGTTGAATGTCCAGTTAGAGGACGTGTGCTAGTCGCGAAAGGATTTGTGGAAGCTGAAACAGAAAACAAAATCCACTAAAAAACATCGATTCCTGCAAAAGAGAGCTCAGGAAAAAAACCAACTAAATCGATAGCATACGATCAAATCAAATTCCATCTATTAGTGATGATAAAAAAACAAGAGCTAGAAAACAAACCCAAAGTCGTAGAAAGTTCTAAAAGGAGAAGCGAGAGATGCATAAACCGGCAATACGAATAAAACAAAAATCGATGAGGAATGGAGGGGCTTGGCATAACGTACCGGGATTTCTGTCAACTAATTTCTCGAGATCCACTAGATCCTTATGATCACCCAGAAAGTCGGCCGGGGTTCGCTTTCGAGTCGGCGTTGCTGTAGTAGCCGTTGTAGTAGTCGTTGAATCACCGGATGAGTTAGGGACGTTTGCAGCAGCAGCAGCCTCAGAACTAGCGGAAGAGGTGAAATCACCGCGACAGGAGGCATTGCTGTTTCCATTGCCATTTTGGGAAGGGGCGCTGGTGGACGGGAAGGCGGACTCGAGAGGGTCCAAAGTGGCCCAAGGATTGTTATTTGCCACTGGAACTGTAGGCAATTTTTGTTGTGGTTGCAACGCATCTAAATAAGAGAATAGCCAACAATGGTAAAAATATTTTCAATTCCAACCCAAATAAGCATGGTTTATAATTTATTAAAAACCTTATCAGTTATAAATTTTACAAAATTCTATAAAGATTGTGAACCCTGGGTAGCACTCTTTAAGCAAATTTTAACCTACGCAAACTTGAACTTAGTCCTTGAATTAAAGTTACAGAACTTTGATTCACAGACAATAGTCTATATATCATCCCCGTCGACTTGCGTTTGAAACCCCTCTAATTGTGCAGCAAGTTCAAGCAATCAACCAAGAACAGTATTGGTTGAACCTGGGGTGTGCGATAGACTTACCTCCACGTGGTGCACCCTGGGCAACGTATACTCATACGGCAAAAAATCTATCAATGGGCAATTGACTTCTGACTTCAAACTGCCATGATCCCACTGTATGCCATATTCGACTACTTGCACAGTACTCACCTCACCTATTTTCTACCATCGTCTTTGAAGCATTCTTCTGTTCCCCCTCTCGACTTTTTTTCCCACATTGATGTTCCCCAGTTCCCCCCTCTCGATTTTTTTTCAACTGAATCGCTCTTCTTTCCTCCCTATCATTTCTTCGCACTTTAATGCTCCTACCTTCTGTGAAGCCCGAAGTCAGCTAAATGGCTAATGATAGCTGTCCTGTGAAGCCCGAAGTCAACTAAAGGGCTAATGATAACTACCTGTGAAGCCTGAAGTCAACTAAAGGGCTAATGATAGCTATGAGAACGCCTGCCATTTGATATAAATAGGTATTAGTTGAACCAAAGCGTTCGCAGAAAAATCACGACTTGCAGTCCACGCAGGGGAAACTCTGAACATAATTTTTTTAATGGCTCCTTTTCGAGTTAGGTAAAAAAAAAAAGACAAAATGACCCAACGTGCTCTAATAAGGCCACCAATAAGATGCCTCGTCTAAACAATCCAAATAACCATGCCGGCCGGATAAACCACAGAATCGGCTTTTTTTCCGGTCCCAAGCATCATATATCTGCGTGCACACTCACCCTTAGGAGACCATGGCAAAGAGTCCACAAGACTGAGTTGATCTCCACCAAGAGCACTGTTAGTATTATTCACTTGCACAGGTGTAATAAAGTCCGTTGTTGGTGCATCAAATGGAGATTTCGACGACGTTGCGGTGGCGACAGCGGGTGGAACAAGGGCATGGCTGGTGCTATTACTGCCATTTTCATTGCCAGTGGAAGTGGTAGGGGCAGGAGGAGCAATAGTGGACCAGGGATCGGGCATGTTAGCAGGAGCGGCGGAGAGCGAAGTATCGATCAGGCTGAAAAGACCTCCCCCTCCTCCTCCTCCTCCATTGCCTGTCGCTGCGGTTGAAGACGATGGACCTGCGTCGGAGAGAAGAGACGACGCCGCAGTTTGTACTGCACGGTTCTGTGGACATTAAAAGAAAACAAAGTCATTTCAGTAAAAATTTTTTTCTTTTTGTCAAAAGAAATTCGAGATGGACAGAGCAGCCTCCGAATAAATCTATGAAATACAAACAACTGACGAATTGAACTCAAGAGGGAGGTCAATTAATGTGATATTCAATGCCACTTTATCACATATGTTGCAGCTGCTGAGGCAGCGGAAACCATGTTCAGTAGAGGTGCTTGAAAAATAAAAATATCGAGCTCAAAGAGACTCAGTGAGGCGCGCGCAAGAATGATTGAGCAAAATATCGAGTACATTGAGACAATTACAATTTTAAAGTAACGACTCAGACCAATATATGCAAATGAATTTCCGCCACAGCGGCTTCCGTGCAACGGTATAAGGTGATTTTACTGACTTGCAGAATTGAAACGGCGAATACGAAGTGTAAATACAGCGAGAGAAAGACAACCCCCCCCCCCCCAACACACACACAGTGGGAAACTACGAAATTGTTGAAAACGGAAGACGCGGAGGTGCCAAAATGTAAACAGGTTATTTACAAAGAGAAGACTGGTTGTTTATGTGAAGGCACAAAAGGGTAGGTTTACCCGTGGTGTCGAATTAAATTTTGGTTAAAGAGGGCAAACGGAACACAAACCGACATCACGCGCGTTCGTATACACATGTCTAGAATTCGGGGTGGTCAAGTGAAATCACTTCACACTAACGACAAAACGGCGCATATTTCTCTAATTCATGTTGTAAAGAATGAAGTTATTGTAATAGCCAATTGAAAGTCACTATCGGATTCCATAGGAGTGGTCCATTCAATTGTTTTTTCAATAGGGCGCGAGAAGAGCAGAACCGCAGAGACTAACTTTACTCGAAAATTTGAAGATGGACATCGCCTTGACAATGATATACATTCTCTAGCCACGTGTTTCATATAGGTCTCACGAAATTAGACCTATCGTTACGAGTAGTAGTTGACTCATACCTCGAAAAGAAAATCAAAGTAACAAATGACGAAAAAACAATACCATGAATCTTCCATGGAGAATGACCACCAAAGATTGGATCATAGCCAAATGGATAAAAATTTTAATTTCCTAAACACATTAAGAGGTGATGCCGAATTTGTGAAAAGAACGACAAGTGATTAATAGAACTGGATGTCAAATCTTTCCTCATTAAAAACACATATTTAGATGTTGAAAAAATCAATGGTACCAGTTGAAAGTCTTCAAAACCACATCTCTTGACCCAGTAGCGTGTCAGTAAAGTAGTGCTATAATATGTTTGTCACGAAGATCACGGATTCGATATACATCGGTGTATAAATTAGTAAAAACTTAACTAACACAGGTCGGTAGAATTCCAATTTCCAAACAGGTAGGATCTAACAGGTAGTTTGAAGTGAGAAGTCAACTGCCAGTTAATAGACTTTTTTGCGTATGAGTAAACGTTGCCCAGGATGTACCAAATAATAATCCAGAACTTGCGAATTTTAACGTGGACCCTAAGTGGACTATAAATCCATCTAAAGGTGCGGACACGCCAAATTGAGTGCTTCTGTACTTATTAGAACTCGATGCCCTCATAATAATTTTGATGGATCTATAACGAACTTTAAAAGGGCGAACTAGACCAAAAGTTTACAAAGTTTGCTGTACCATGAAGTTAGGAAAAGCGCAGACTAAGAGACGAAGATCGGAACTTTGACCCAATTGTAATAAAGTTATACACAAGTCAATACGGTCTCACACACAACATCGATTTGGCCCCTCTGGGGGCAATGCATGACTAAACAATATATATTAGGACAAATTAGCTATGTCGACGTTAAGATTGATGAAGTAGAAAAAAACGCAGTGGAGAAAAAATCAAGACGCGAAGACCAGAAACCTTGACCTGAACTCCCCAAAGCTGTGCGCGCGCATTAACCAATACAGTCACAGTCACACGCACACACACATACACACACTCGCGCACAGTCAGGCAAAGCAATTTAGCCAATCTCTGTGAGTGAAGGACTAGAGTGTACGCGTGTGTGTGACTGGATTTGCCTGTGCATGTAATCGATGTGCGCCGATACGGCTGCAATACGCACGCTTATAGACGAAAGCACAGCGAATGCTAGAGACTCGCTAAAGTGTGTATCATCTGGTCAAGGTAAACAAGCGCATAAATTGAGTGTGTGAGCGAGAAAAGCTGACGATGTGGTGTGAAGCTCTTTCACATTCGGTAAATAGAGTATTACACCATTGAATATGGTTAGTGAAGATAGACCACATGGAACTCCAAGCTGGCTTGAGTAGAGATGAAGTGTGAATTCGAGAAAAGTCTAGAGGTTCGCTGAAGCATACTTTGTTGTCTAGATAACTAGCTGGCCCTCAATGTGATGGTATTTGGTGTTCCCTTGATGTCTAAATTTATTGAATAAAATTCATATCCACAAAGATTTTGAAACTACCTCTCTTCGTGCACTTCTGTGACTCATTGTTTTGCTGATACCAACAAGTGAGGATTTCTTTGTTCAAATCTCGTGCCATTACGTTGAAAATTATGACTCAATCAGCTAAAGCGGACAACTAACCAAGAAATAAGATTGAAAATCACTACAAACGTGGCTCTAATTGCGGTTGCTTTAAGCAACGTTTGTGTAATTATTACCTACTTCCGCGCATCAATATTAACAATAAACTAATTACCCAAAAGCCTATCTAGTTAAGGCAAAATTAGGCTTAGTAACTGGAAATGTGTGGTACCACTTGGGATGAAATCCAACATTTCGAAGACTGCAAAGGGGGCGGATGGTTAAAGTACTAAAATTTGAAATTTGTGTAAGTAGATAACGAAACTCAAGGGATTTCAGTACACGGATTAAACACTGTGGAAGAAGCACCCACATGACACAGGCAATTACGCGATTTCTCATTGTGGAAAGCAAATTTACTTTGCACTACTTAAAAAACGTCATGAGAAGAAGCTGTTCAATACTCCTAACAAATATGGGCTAAATTCTACAAACAATGATTCATAATATTTAATTGGAAAACGCATGATGAACACGCATGACATTCCAGTGGACATCTGTCATGCCTTTCGTTGGAAGAAAAGCAACGAGAATAAAACTCGTGTTCTCCAAAGTACGCGAGTGTAGAAACACTGAAGCCGTGCGTATACACGTAGTGCACGTCATGCACACATCCACAGACAAATCGAATGCGTCATCAGTTGGAAAGCTAATCGAGATGGAGTCAAGTTAACCACCTGTAAGAAGGCATCAACTCTGCCGAATGATTTAGATGTTTCACTTATGTGAAAGGAATCGTGACTACCTCACGCGTTTATGAGGTGAGGTAGCAGTGCTTGCGCTCGAGCATACATGTGCTTAACAAAAGATATTGAGGTGGTTGTATTGCTAAATTTAACCGCTTCAGCGCACTCTTACTTTCAAACCTCCCCC